CCAGGGAGATGGACAATCTATAAACCTGGTAAATCCTAATGACCCCTCGCTTATCTTCCTCTCACAGCAGTCTTTTGATGCCCTTTGTGCTGTGGAGCTCAGTAATGAGGAATACCTGCTTTGCTTCAGCCATATGGGAGTATACGTCGATTCGCAAGGTCGAAGGTCACGCATGCAGGAACTAATGTGGCCTGCAACTCCTGTTGCCTGTAGTATGTATATGTTTTTCTGTTGCCATATCCCTGTTGCTGCTTTACTTGTCTAAAAATAGTCAGCATTGTATTCAATTTTGCTTCGGTTTGTCTTTGAATAGCTACAGTTTAAGTTTCGATGAGTTAACAGACACGTAAGTTCTTCCTGATGGTAGTTTTGGATGTGGAGATCCTGGATGCTGCAAGAAAAGCTCTGTCTTGTTCAGGACACAGAGAATAAATAGAAGAATGCAAAATAATTTCTACAGACAGTAATCCTGGGTGCAGGACAGTGCAAGACTACCTGTCTGTGAAATTCTATAAAGATTTTTGTTCCCCTAGAGAGTGTAAATATCTAGTTGTCCGTAGGATGTCTTCTGTGTCTTATACTCAAAGTACAATAGAAAGCTGAAGAAGAAATGTAACTGCAACTCTAAAGGTTCATGAAGATAACAAGAGGTAAAAATACTAATTTTGGCAGAACTGGTAGTACTTTTTCTCCTTTTGGCTTTACTTTTTAGGGGGAGAATTTCCAAAAATAGTGTAGGTGGAGGGTAATTTTTCAACTACTCTGCGTGTTTCAGGAGCATTGATTTATCAGTTAGGTAGGATAGAGGTTACATGCAGAGCATTTTTCAGTATTCAGTAGTCAAAGGCAGGTGATGATAAAACTGGGATTCCTATTTGGAGCTCAAATAGCAATTAAAAAATTTTGAATGATCAAAGGCAAGAAATAGCTTTTTGTTTAAACAGTGCAGCAAGGAGTTAGGTGCATGTTGGTTTGATCAGGCCAGGCCATAATAGCAGTTTGTTTAATTTTAATTGTCTTGGACTGAAATTGTTTGCTTGCTTTACACTGACCTAGTTTTGTACAGAAGTCTGAAGGAAAGGCCCAAGGAAACAATGTAGTGGCAAATTTACTTTAAAACACCATTAGCTAAAACTAATGTTTCCTTTTCCTTAATCAGCTTTACAGTTTTTAGCATTTCAGCAAACTAGACTTGCTAGTTAATGGTCTTGTCTGTTATTATTAGAAGTGTTTGTTATAACCTTCTTGTATGTGCAATCCTGAGTGGCACTGGCCTAGGGCTGTTTTTGTAGAAAGAGCAACATTTTTCGCTGCCAAAGGAACCTGGATTACTTCCCTTTTCATTAAGCTTGTCCTCCATCCTCAGTCCTGGTGCCTGTCACTAGTGATGGTGGCTTTTTTTAACTTTCCCATCAAGAGGTCATAAAATTACAGAATGGTTTGGGTTGGAAAGAATCTTTAAGATCATCTAGTTTCAACTCTCCAGCCATGGGCAGAGACACCTTCTACTAGACCAAGTTTCTCAAAGCCCCACCCAGCCTGGCCTTCAGCACTTCCAGGGATGGAGCAGCTTCTTCCACAGCTTCTCTGAGCAACCCGTTTGACTGCCTGCCAGGAAAGAATGTCTTCCTAATATCCAGTCTAAACCCACTCTCAGTTTAAAGCCATTACTCTACATCCTATCACTCCATACCTGAGTAAAAAGTCCCTCTCCAGCTTGCTTGTAGTCCCTGTAGGTACTGAAACGTGCTATAAGGTCTCCCTGGAGCCTTCTCTTCCCTAGGCTGAACAACCCCAACTCTCTCAATTTGCCTTCATAGGAGAGATCATTGAAGTGGAATTGATTCTCTCCCTGTTATGGTTTCTACTGTGGTAAAGCACCATGTACAGAGGTTTAAGGGTACAGCAGAGAATTTGTCTCTGGGGCATTTGGTGCCCTCACACATGGAGAGGGCAGGGGCTGCACTCACACAGCTCTGTTATCCCAGGCGGCCTGTCTGGGTTGCTGCTACACCAGCTTGATTCTGTGCTGAGTCAGTGCAGGTGTCATGGGGCTGCTTGGCTCTAGTGCAGCCTAGTGCAAAGCGTTGGAGCCAGCAGGTCTCGAGGCTGTAGCCTGGGCAAGCCCAGTGCAGACACTGACATGTCTCACTGGGAACCAGTCAAGATCTGGGCTAGCTCATCAGCTGTGACTCACAAGTGCCAGCCTTGGCTACAAGCTGGTCAGGCAGAAGCAGTTGGTGTTTCTGCCTGATGCTCAGTTCTCTCCTTTGATTTGAACATCCAAGCCAACTGTGACCCCCTGTAATAAATACTTGACCATAAATCATTTTTGTGATACATATATATGATAGCTGTCCAAGGCTTTGTGTGAATGAATTTAATACTAGCACCACACCTTACTTCAGTTTTTCTAAGAAGATTTTGTGATGTGTTTAGTGTCCTTTTGGGTTATTTTCATTTTGCTTATTGAAGCATCTCTTCTCTGTTAAATCCCATAAGTTTCTAGAAACTGTTCTTTACATCAGAACACAGCCTTTACATGAGCAGAAGCATGTTGTTACGAAGCTCTAGAGATCTCCGCTTTTCATTTGGCCTAAAATAAAGTTGTCTGCTGATGCCTTTTATGCTTTAAAAAAAAAAAGTTGAAAAGAAAATGAGTTATGGGCTTTAAGCATTGTGACATTTTTATGTTAACCTGATGAAAGCACCCATACATGAATATCTAAAGCTAGATAATTGTTAGCAAAAGAGGAAGGAAATTGAGAACAGATCTGCATCATGAGTTCACGACCCAGCTCACAGATGGTGGCCCTCTCATCTCCTCTGCACACAGCAGATGTATCGTTAGTTTGCTGCTTCCGAAATGAAGTAATCCATAGAAAAGCTAGCTGCTCACTTCCTACCACCTAGCAAATTTGTATGCATGTGAAAACTTCAGATGCCATTTTGCAATTTCATGAAATGGCAGTGTGAAGTTTTAAAAATACTGGAAGGGTCAAATTTAAATCTTTCCATGATGCTGGTAGTTGTCATTAGCAAGTCTATTATCACGAAAAATTCTATTTGAAACTGGGGCTTTGAAACAGTGTTTTAAAATGTGTCTCTCACATAGTGGAAAACTTGTAAGTATTGAAATTTGCTCAAATATATGTCAGATCTGGACTACTGAAATGACATTAGGGTTTTCTGTTTGTTTTTAATCTGTGCAGGTTGCAATTCTTCTTATGTAACAGTGTATAGCGAGTATGGTGTTGATGTATTTGATGTTAACACTATGGAATGGGTCCAGACTATTGGCCTGCGAAGGGTAAGTAATTTTCCTTGAATATTGAACTTAATTGGGCTAATTTCAAATGAGATGTTTCTTCATGGTGTATGCTGGGCTTGAGTTAATTCGCTGTCTCCTTCCTCAAAACAGATCAGACCATTAAACATGGATGGCACACTGAACCTCCTTAACTGCGAGCCACCGAGACTAATATATTTCAAGAACAAGTTTGCAGGTGAGCAAAGGGCAAGGGGAGAAATGGGGAACTGATATGAAGCTAACTGAGTAAATTTAACCGTGTTATTACCTTTGCATCGGATGAAATTTGTGTTGGATACATCTGGGTCAGTGTGTACCTGTACATGTGAAATTGCTTTGTGGTATTACAGCAGGAGCTGGCCTCAGTGTACCAGAAACATCTGACAACAGCAAGAAGCAAATGCTTCGAACCAGGAGCAAAAGAAGATTTGTATTTAAGGTTCCTGAGGAAGAGCGATTGCAACAAAGGCGGTAAGAATTTAATTGTGGCACATAACTTAATGTGTATGATGACATGCAGAGACTGGGAATGCTTATTAAAAAAAAATCACTCTGTTCTTTTAGGGAAATGCTTAGAGACCCTGAGCTAAGGTCAAAGATGATTTCTAACCCAACAAATTTCAACCACGTGGCTCATATGGGACCAGGAGATGGAATGCAGGTTCTCATGGACCTCCCACTGGTAAAATACATTTTAAAGGGAGAGAGATATATGTGCATTTGTTCTTGATCACAAAAACTGTGAAGATGAGCTGTATGGGCTTCAAGTATTATCTCTGTACCAAATTCTTCTTTAAAGCCTTTTGAGAAAGGTGAACCTTCCTGCTGTGTAATGCTTCTAAATCCTGTGCAAGGAAATACTGTTAGCTGGCTTATGAATGAGACACTGAATGAAACAGATATCACTGCCAGGAGCTTGTTAGTAGTTTTGTAAATAATCCGTCTCTCCTCCTTCCTTTTTCTTGTTTCTCTTCTTAAAATAACAGAATGAATTTCCTTTCCCCTCATCCTCTCGACATTCTGCTCTTGATATCACCTCCAACAGGCTTTGAGCACGTCTATCACATGAGCCCTATCTCTGCTGAATTCTCTCTCCAGAGTGACCATTCCTCACTGCAAGGCTCCCCTCTGCTTTCTTCCTCTTCCTGTCCCTCCTCTGCTTCCCTAGCAAGGGTAGGAGTAGCTACAAACTGTTAGGAACTGGAATGGTATGCTTGTGGCACTTTGCCAATTCTAGAGCAATAACAAGAGGGAAAAAACTAATGCTGTGGAGGTAACTAAAATGCATGTGAGTTGCAGTGCTTTCTAGCATTAATTTTATTTTGTATTTAACTAATACATCATTTTGTGAGCTATTTTAGTGTTAAGTCCACAAGGGGAAGACAAATGTGAAGGTACATGTCTACATTCTGTATGTACCCTCCATTTCATAGCTGTTAGTCAGGCTTTCTCTTGTCTTTCTCAGATAGCCCAGATGTGGGTAAGGCATTTGTTCTTTCAGCAGGAGGAGGAAGGAAAGCAGAGCTGTTGGTACAGTCCCTGCCCCTTCATATAGGGTTTGCTGGCTGACAGGTTTTAGTGGCTGCTATGGGGCTTAGTTTTTTCTCTGTCTTTCTCAGGGTTTGTGTCTGTTACTGAAAATATGTGGATGTGGTCAAGTAAGTTCAGTTTTTCTACCAACACTGGGTTGTAATAGCTTCAAAAGCACAGTAAAGTTTTCATGAGTAACAACTTCTCGTTGGATAGCCTTTGTTGCTGGCTAACAAGGTGTTTCATCTCAACTGTAGAGTGTCCTACCTCCTGCACAGGATGAAAAAACCTGTCCGTCTGCAGCAAACCTCTCACGGCAGCAGCAGCAGAGAAACAAAACCTACATCTCGTGGCCCTCATCAAGTAAGGCTGTGGAAGGAAGCTTGTCAGTTCTGCACTGTAATCTGTGGCATTAACAAGAGGTGTAAACCTGCCTTTTTTCCTTTATTCCCTCCAGGTGGCAGTGATGTGGGAGTGGCCATGCCTTCCCGAAGTATGTCTGACCCTGACCAGGAGTTTGACAAAGAGGTAAAATAGCTTTTGTTAAACGGAGACTGGTGATATCCTGTTGACGTAGGTTGTTTTCTTTTTCCAATAAATTACATTTCCTAGGAAATACTTCATAGAGACGTTTATGGAGATGTTTTCCTTCCACAAATGTTTTTTCCAGCCTTTTAATATATGTTTGAAAGTTAGATATGCCAGCACAAAAGCAAAGCTGTGAAAAGATCTTTTTATGGTGATATTTTAAGAAGTATTATGTCTTGGATTAAGCTTTATAGGCAAGGCAAATTTGACTAATTGATGAAATGTCCTCAAAGCTCCTAAAATTGTTCTCTGGGCTATTAGCATAGAATAGCAAAGTAATATGACTCGTTAAGTAATTTTCTGTGCTGCCTTAAGGAAGGCATTTTGTCATGTAACTTGAGAAGGAATCATATTTTAAAATACATAGAATTGGTTTTAGTAAGAGTACATGCCAGTAGTCACCAAACCATAAGTGTCCAGGCTGTACAAAACTGGTGTTCCTGAATCTAAATAGAGAAGATATATGATTTTTGCTTCCTTGATTTATCATGTGTGTAGCTTCTTCCAAGCTTTCCTGAGGGACTGTCTGTGCAATGAAAGTGTTAGGAAAGAAAGTGTTAGTGGTCCTGCGAGACAAACTCTTAGATCAAGATCTTTTTTAGTGCTTTTTGATACCCAACTGCAAGCCCATGTAATGTTCTAGATTTTTAAGCATGTTTTCCTGAAGCCAGAGCTTTGCAGGGTCCCTTAGTACACCCCAAGTCCAGAGTTCTGATTACAGTCATGTTCTGACTTCCTTTGTCACCTTCAGTAAGCCATTAAAAGCACAGGAAAATAGGGATCTCTAAACAGTCTTGATTTTCAAAGGTGATGATGATGGACTATGTTAGTTGACTTAGTTATTCTGCACATCCTTTCCAAATTCCATTATATTCCATGCTGTAAAAATACTTGCAGTTTGTAGGCACAAATGATAGATTCTAAAGGAGACTTTTTACAATCTTTTCTCTTTTGGTGTATCTTACAATATCTTGTGACTTTCTAAATGTTAAAAAATTGTAGTGTGAAACTGGAAAGAGGCTCTAATAACACCTTTTGGCTTTATACTTTTTTCCCCCGTAGCTTTTGGCTTTATTGCAGCATGAACTGGATCATGTTAGGATAATCTTGTTATAGATGATCTTATTATTGTTCAAGCCATGCAAAATCTTGTGAACAGCATTCTCGAAGGATGTTACCTTTCAATCTATTTGCTAAATATATATTTCCCTTTCTTGAAAATAACTTGCTGCAATAGTACCAGTTTTTCCTGTGCAGTGTTTCATTAGCTGTGAATGTGTGCAGTGCTCAGAGTTGTAACTCACCAAAATAGTGGGAATCTTGCCAGCCATCCTGTTGAAGTGAGACCAGGCTGTGAAGGCAAATATCCAACAACTAATCTAACACTGGGGAAATAACTGTGGATAGTCTTTATTAGATATTGACGTAGGATGTATCCAGTAAGTCTGTTCTGTTTCCAGATCTCCAGCCTGATTCTTGGCAACCTTCACTCTTTTGTCGGGCACTTCACATGCTTGTTGCTGTTTTGTAGACAGTTCACATGCTTGTTTCCTTCCTTCTCACCAAACTGAGGATGATTTGACTGTAATCGTTTACATGTTTACATGGGTAGATAAACCTCCTCCGGGGCTATAAAAATTACCTAGAAATTGCAGGCTGGTAAGTTCTGAACAACAGTGAACAGACAGATGCATTCCATCAGGAAAGTTTTGCAATGGCTAACAGAGGAGCTGGAGATGTAGCGATTTCCACATACTTTACCATAATTCCTGTTACGTCAGAAGGTCACCTTTGGGACTACACTACAGCCTGTTGATAATGGAAGTACTTGCATGAATGTTGAACTATGACATTAATGTAATGCACACTGCTTCGTAGGTGTTGCTCACCCTAATTTTTGAGTGCCTTTGAAAGCTCTTGAGTGTAAAGAATTCACTTTAAGTAAACATAATTTTTTTAATGTTTCTCGTTAACAGCCTGATTCAGACTCCACCAAACACTCTACTCCATCTAACAGCTCAAATCCAAGCGGTCCCCCAAGTCCCAACTCTCCTCATAGGAATCAGCTTACGCTGGATGGACTGGACCAGTCAACCTGTGACGCGTAACACTACCGCTCTCACCATTCCAGCTCCGGTCATCCGCTACTCCATGGTATTCAAGAGCAGGGCAAAGCTGACTCAGATGCTAGTGCCAAGACTGACACAGACTCTCTAGTGTTGTACAAGAATAATTATATATCCAGATTGTAGATACAAACTATTGAAATGAAGAAAATTCTTTACTAATAGCGATCAAGCTTTTTATGCAGAATTGTTCACTGCTCAGCTATGGTTGGTTCCTTTCTGCACAGCTGTGACATGGTTTTATTGCATAGGAGCATTTAAGGCCACCAGTAAATAGTCTTATTCTTATGGTGAAAGAGAAATAGAGAGAGATACTGATAATGTTGCTACAATATCAGGAATATTATTTTTCTATAGAATGATGTAATGTCTGATTAGCAGGAAATCCTTTTAGACAGAATTTGGACCTCTAAATAGGAAATGTGAGCAGGTCTAGTTACATCCTCAGATGAATACACTTTTCCCTTTTTCCCATAACTGTTTGTTTCCTAAATCTTAAGGAGAATGCTAGGAAGCTGTAGGTCGTTTCCAACATCACCAGGAAGTCAAATGAAAGCTGGTTATAGTTTTGTGGCCTTTTAAATCATTTAGCCATTACATATACAGCTGCATAACTGTCTTTCTATCTTTCTACCAACTTTTTAGTCTTGTACATAGGACTACTGCCAGTTATCTCTTTACCCATTCCCTGCTTTTTAGTCCTCATCAGTCACTAGTCAGGGCTTTTAAAATACTGGTAATTACTGCTGTGAAAAAAAAAAATTTTACTCCTAGTTCCTGCCTATCTCCTCCTGAGAAGTTGTTTCTCCTGGGTTTTTTGGTGTAAGGACACACTACGCTGTTTAGCTAGCAAGCCTTCTCGTGGACGCATTGCCCTCGAAGTCCGCCTGACCTAAGGGACTATATCGCACTAAAACATCAGTCTGCTTTATTGGCTACCAAAGTGGAACGTGAAGGATGTGTAACTGGGGGTGCTGCTTTTCTCATTAACTGTATCCTCACCTGCATGAAGACCCCATGATTATTAATCAAGTATTGATCATGTAGAAAAATGCACAACACACTCCTGTATATTTTGCGATGGCCCACGTGCAGTGATGTTTTGCGTGTATATTTAATCTCATGCTTCCATGTATTATACATTTAGTAATCAAGGATTTGTGACCATGTTTCATTAAAAGCTTGTAATTAATTCCGTGGCTGGCATATCCAGTTTGTCATTGTCACACTAGTGTGCCTTCTGTGCCAATTTTATGACAGTTGGATGTCACTTATTTAAAATTCGGTTTAAATGGGCTAATGATATGCCAATGGCTAATGTTCTTTTCTGAAACACTGTATAGGACGTGCACTTATCTTTAGTTTAAACTGAGTGTTCTAGTCAACATTTAATCCTGTTACGTTAAGTGTTCGACAGTACTTGCTCTTTTTCTCAGATTCTTGATAAAGGGGCTCAGTTAGAGCTGGACACTACTGCTTTGGGGGTTTTCTGGTTTTTACTTTTTTAATGTAAGTCTAAGTCTTTGTAATTATTGAATTGTGAGAACATTTTTGAACAATTTACCTGTCAATAAAGCAGAAGAGGGAGGTTTTAAAGTTCATAGTCGTCTGTCTTGACATCTGAAAACAATCTACCACTGACACTTGCTTTAGTCTCATGGTAAATTCACTTCGTTCACATGGATGTTTTACATAAACTTAAAGATACTTCGAAGCTCTGTAGGCGAACACTACGAGGAAGGTGCAAGTTACTGCAGGTAAATGAATGTTCAGGAGAAACAGAAGTCCTTTGGGTGGAATACAGTGTTAAAATGTTGTGCCCTCAGTTTGTGTTAGAGTTGTCATTTCACTGAGTCACTGGCCCTATTAGTTCCTTTTTAATTGATTTATGTGACTGCTTCCTTACGGCTGAAGCACAGTAAGGAGGCTGCAGGATCTATTCAGGCATCTTAAGGGTGATAAAACAATAAATATTTTTGACCTGTTGTCAAAGCAGTAGTCCCAAAGAAATGAATATTTCAAGGATTGGTGTGTGAATGGTGCCGCCCCTCATATAGGGTGGTTTTTTTTTAAAGCTCCCCTCATGCTCTGGTATTCGAGCACCACAGAGCCCACTGTAACTAGAGCAGAGCAATATCTTCTCCAGTGTGTTCTGGGTAAACATCCCTCACCCATAACGGAGTGCCTGAATTGCTTCTTGGTTTGGCTCACCCTTAAGAGGGAAGGCCTTAGTGGGTGTTTTGGACCCTGCTGTTCCTTGCCTGACCAAACCTAGATGGGCAGACTGGGGCAGGTTGGCTTGGGAGAGTGCACCCATCCCATCCTGGGGATGGGGTGATAGCTGACAGGAGGTTTGAGGCTGTGTGCCGGAAGCATTCTCACAAGTATTCATGCTAATCAGCCTTTGACTTTTAAAAAAGATTTCTCCTGCTCTTGAGCTGATTTTTCTCTGCACAGTGAGGACTTAGGATGACAACAAAGTCTTTAATTATGGGGGTATTAAATCATAGCACTCAGCAGTGCCAGGGCTTGGTTATAATTTAAGCAGGAGAACGTTTCTAGAAAAATAAATTAATTGCTCATATGAATACATTATTCTTTTCTTTCATTTTTTTTTCTTCCCTCAAGTCTGGCCAAGCAGAATTCCTTCCCAAGTCCTCCGCCACAGGCCTTTGCAAATCATCTGTTCCCTTGAGGATTCTGATTCTGGTTACCTAAAGAATCCTCTTGAGCCCTCAGGAGAACTTTCAGAAATGCAGAAATTCAGGATGTGAAATGGTCTTCTGACAATGCGCTTTCTTATCCCTGGAGGCTACCAGTCTAGGATCGAAAGTGAGGAATTGAGCTATGCAAGGAATGAGGATAATTTGGTCTCTGCCAGTTCCTTTGCTCATTCCATTTTCACAGAGGCATTACATCAGGTCCCAAAGCTGGGGTGATGGGCACACCACTCACCAGAACAAGTTGATCACTTCTAGCACAGACCTTCTCCTCGAAGCTGCGTATTTTGGAATACATCATGGTGTTCTTGCCACCCTAGACCTAAACTCATCTGCCACCACCTCTGTCTACAGAACAGATGTGCTGAGAAGAAACAGCTTCCTAAATAGGTGCAATCTGCTGGAGGGGTGTGTGTAAACACTTTATCTTTGCAGGGTGTTTAACTCAGGGAAGTCACAGGGGGGCTTCAGCACGGAAATGCTGGAGGTGCAGGCACCCTTGTTGTTCTGCACAGCGCCAGATTGGGCATCCCTGGGAGAGAGCAGATGTGTAAAAACCTTAAGAGTAAGCTTAAAGCACTTGAGAAGCAGGAAAGTGTTTGAGGGAAGAGATGACTGTGGGAACTGCACTGCACCTTGAGGTGCAGTTAAGCAAAGTATTAGTTAAAGGAAGGTGTTTCATGCATCCTGACCAAAAACCTTGCCTAGCTTATTTTAAAAGAAAAAGGAAAAAAAGAGACATGGTATTCTTGTATGCCAGGCTACTGGAGCATCTCATGTTCCAGTCTGCACCCTGTCTGAAACAGCTCCAGCAGTCAGAAGGGAGGACAACCCAAAAAGCAGCAGTCACCTGCCCAGCCCTTGCCTTCCATTGCTGTGCCTTCTGTCCATTTGCACCCCTGAAAATGTGGCTCCCCTCTCAATTAACCCTTACAGCCTTGGGGCTCCTCACAACTTGTGTGGCAAGAGCTGTGGCTGCTGCCACCCTCTCCCAGTGCAGGGCAGCCCCTTCCTATGGGGTGAGAGCTGCTCCCTGTGGCTAGGACAGAAAGCACAGTGAGTGGAAAGAGCCATACGATCTCGATGCTGCTTTGCAGATCTCAGTGCTCCCTTGCAAAGCCTCCTAAACATGTTTCTGGGGACGGGGTGACGATGAGACCGGGCATCAGCTGCAGGGCTGGTGCGGGATGCCTGGGAAAGCCAAATGGTGGCAGAGCATGTCCCAGCGGTGCCTGATGCTCCGGCCAGCGTTGCCGGCGGGGTTAGCTGAGGACAGGAGCAGAAGACAGCAGGACGTGCTCAGCCAGCGGAAGCTGCAGTGCTGTGCTACGGCCAGAGGAGGAACATGGACTCAGGAATGAGCCCCTTCCCTGTCCTTGCAGCAAATATTTTCCCTGCTCCCCAGTAAGCTGCAGCACTTTTTTGTCATCTGACTGCACAGGTTCATGCAGCTTTATTGGTTGCTTTCTCATAGATAAAACCCTCAGATTTTTTTCAGCATCGCCTGCTTTCCCATCTCTTACGCAGTCCCTGCGGTCCCGTGAGGACGGGCAGTGCAGAGTCCTGTGTGCTGATGGAGGAGATGGCCAAGACTCAGCTGTCACCCCGCAGTGCCTTGGCCAGCTCCTGCACTCCGGTGAGACCAGTCCTTGCCAAACGCCCTCCCTTCCGCTGCTGCTACCTCCTGCTAAAAAAAATTTTAAAAAGAAATTCAGTGGACCAAGTCTGTCTTTAGGTTTGGGAGTATTTTGAGCACTGTGCCAGTCTGAATCAGGGTTTGCACAACTTCTGTGAGCTGCTGTATCGTGCAAAGGGAAGGAACCGTGATATGAGTTGGTGTCCATTAATAGTGTGCAAGTTGCTTTTTCTCTTAAGATCTAGGGAAGGAATGATTCCTGAGGTCTTGCCATTGACACTAACACATTTTGAATTAGTCTGTCCCAGCCGGGGACCCCTGACTCTCCGGACCAAAAGCAAAACAAAGCCATTAGGTGCCGCGCCGCGCACAGCCTCGGCAACCACCCATTTAATGTGCTGCTTACCAAAGATGTCTGCGAATTAAATTCCTTGTTTAGGCAGGATCCCGGGAGACACCATTACGTACCAAGCTCCTTTGCCTTGCCCTGCCTGCACCACGGGCTATCTGCGTGCGGCGGTGCGCGGAGTAGCGATCATGGATACAGCTGTTTTTCTCGGCAGCTGTTGGTCCCCGGCGTCGCAAACTCTGGTGCTTCGGGTTTTTTTTTCTGCAGAGCTCCCCCCTCCCTGCGGTGCGTTCTGTACGAGCGAGCGGACGTGGCTCCCGACGGAAAAGTACAGACTGTGCTCTGCCCGCGCACTGACAAAAATTGATCTCTACTTTAATTAAAGCCTCTATTGTAAGTGACCTCGAGCTGCTAATGCATTTTAAAAATGAAGCTTCGCCAACAGCAAATCCATATACCCCAACACGGAGTGGTGACCAGGCGGTGATCCGTGCCACAGGGTGGGCTGCCTCCCTCCGTGCCGGCTGTGCGGTCGGTGATGTGTCCCAGGAGCCTGTCCCACTGCACGGCCACACGCCTGACCGTGGCTCACCCTGAAATCCCAGGGTGCCCAGGTGGAACGCAGAGCTGATGTCCTTGGCTGCTTGCAGGGGAAGGACAGCATCCTGCCACCATCCTGTGCAATGGTCCCTGTTGCCAATGTCTTTTCCCTTCCCCAGCATGTGGCCACAGGATACTCTTACCTCTTCACTTCAGCACACATCGCAGGGATGCAGCCACCGCGAGCCCTCATAACCCTGGAGTGAGGAGCCCAAACGTAGCCAGGGAAGGAAGCAATTCACTCCGAGGTGAGCAGCGAGGGATTCCCTGGGGGATGGCCCTGAGCCCCTTCTTTGCACGGGGCAGCGCCGGTGTGATGGGCTGCCTGGTGCAGCGGCCTCCAGCGTGCAGCGCTGCGTCGGCCCAGCCCTGGAAAGATAACTCGTGGATATGTGCATTTAAAGGCTTGTGAGCTGGAGGAGACACAGTCACCTGCAATGAACTGATGTGAAAGGGGAAAAAAGACGAAAAGGCTCTCGCAGGCAGAAAGTATGGATGTGACTGCCTCCCTCCCGCGTAGCAAGACCCAGCCGCGGTGCGGGGCCTGCGGACGCTGCGGCTGCTCGCACAGGCACCATGGAAACATCTCGGTGCCAGCGAGCAGCGCTCCGGATGACCGAGCTGCACCGCGGCCGCACCGAGCCCCCCGGTACCGGGTGTTCTCCGGCCTCCTGAGGTCTGTGTGAGGGCTCGGGCTGGCGGTGTCTCCCTTGGGTTCACATCATATGAGTGACTGAATGGGTGAGCTTTTAGGGTCCTGTCCCCGGGTCACTGCTCCCCACAGTGATGCATCTGTTGTAGGACCACGGGATGGTGGGACTTGGATATTCCTAACCTGCCAATATCAGCCGCCGCCTGCAGCAGCCAATGCCTTCCTCTGCTTTTTGACGTGCCCGGTGACCATTTCATCCAGCACCAAATGCCTGACAGATGCAGCAGAAACTCCTGCACAGGCAAGTTGCTTTTCATCCCAGTACTGCCAGCGCGAAATCCCAAGGGTGTGCCCTGAGCACAGACCTCCTCCCAGCCCCGGCTCTGCCCCGCTTGCAAAGTCACGGCAGCAACCAGGAGCACGGAGACAGCCTCGTTCCCTGCCTGGCTCGTGTTTTTGTCCTGCCTGCTCACATTGCCTGTTTCCAGAGGCCTCTCTATGGGCAGGGGGGCAACAGGGCTGGTCTCACCACCACATGCTGCCTGTTGCCCTTCATCAGGGCTCTAGTGCGTCTAACGATGAATTCCCAGGCCTTTGAGAAGGGATTATGTCTTCCAGAGACTAGAACAAAATATAATAAAC